CTTAACATATAAAATCTAAATACTGAACAATGAAGAGAATGTATATATATACATATGCATATAATTATATTTCATTATAATCCTAGTATTACCTTAGGTAAATATAAAGAATTATTACTCAACATTTTATTTACATTATTACTTATATATAAAAATTAAAACTAACAATAAATGCAAAATTTACATGAAGTAGTTTTATGTTAATAAATAAAATGTAATTAATTTATAAATTAAATCCCTCATTATTTATTTAGGTTTATTCATAAATATAAATTTAATTTATTTAAAAATTATAACAAAATTGATAAAAAAAAATTGATTCAAATGTTTTCAAAAAAAAATTTATTATATACAAAAGAATATTATATTGTCTTTAGATAAATAAAAAACATCCAATAACAAATTGAATGGATTACTTTTATTATCTTAAAATAAACAACAAAAATAAGCAAAAATAAAAATTATCAATATATTACCTAATGTAAAAAACTATTAAACATAATAACATATAGTTCAAAATATCACAACGGCTCTTTTTTATTTATAATATAAACACATTAATATAAAATACATCCTTTCTATTTCCATAGTAATCCAAAAAAAATTTTCAAAGATAAAAATAATTAATTCAATGCCGTTTATTCCCCTAACTCATAAAATCAATTTATATATGTAGTGTGTTATTGCTTTTTATATGTATATTCTTTTCATCAATATTAAAATAAATTTTTAAATTTAAATTTTATCGTAGAAAATTTTACTTCAAACTTTAACTACTCCTAATATTTTTTGATAAAGGTAACTCCGTTGTATACACTGCATCTAATAAATCTTGTACACTTTCTCTTATTCTTAATGCCATATTATTTATAGTACTAGCACTTAACAAAACATTTGAATGATTAAATCGTTTAGATATTTCATATTTTATCCCATCTACATTATTTAACATACTTATTCTATCGTCTTCATGAGGTTGACTAGTTGCACTTCTAAGTAGATTATAAGATAAAACAGCTTCTATCATATAAAATTTTAACATATTATTAATTTTATCAAGAGTAAATGATCCAGAAGAAAACATTTCCTCAAAGCGATCACTTATTCTTAACGCCATATTTTGAATTTTCTCTTCTGATAAAGTAATATTATTATAATCAAGCAATGAACGAACTGTGTTATTAATTCTCACCATATCTAAAACAGTATCATCAATTGAATCCCCAGAAGCATCAATTACCATTTGCGTTGACATCTTTAGTGCTATATATTCTAAATTACAAACAACAGACAGGTGCAAGGATTCGTCATCTGTTAATGAATCATCATGAGTACGTTTTCTTTTCAAACCATCACGACTAGCTTCTGCAAGATTTCTTTTTGTTTTCTGCCATATATCTAGATTATATTTATGAAATATGTCATTATTTAAAATTAAAAATAAATAAATGTCGTATAAAATTGTTGTCCATAAATTGACATACAGAAAACAAAAAAAATATATTATTCTGAATATTTTCATTTCAAAGAATAAATAAGTGTACATCAAATAGCAATTCTCCTTATAAAAGAAAAAAATCCCAAAAAAATAACAATATATGTATTTATCTAAATCTAAAAAAAGATTCTCATTAAATATATAAAATAAATTATATATTAAAAAGGCTAATTTGCTTTGTAGCTCTTAACGTTACTTCTTATCCTTTCAACAAGTAAATAAACATATAAACAGCTTCTAAATCATTCGAAGTAATTTTTTTCTAGATTTTTAACTTTAAGAAACATAAGACATAATTCTATATTATTAATAATAAATGACTAAATTTACTGACAAAATATCTTTTATTATACACACATTTACATTATTTAAATAACTAAAAAATGTATTATAATATATATATAAATGAAAAAAGCTAAATTACAATTTAAGGGAAATTCCCACATTATTTCAAATTAAAATAAAGTTATATAAACTAAAAAGAAAGATATACTAAAATTAACAAAAAAACATTTAACTAGAAAATGCATATGAACTTTATAATAAAACTATAGCTGTGATTAAGGCAGCATGTAATAAAAAAATGAATTTTCATAAAGCAATATTTAAAACACATATTTCATATAATTATGTTTTTTTTATTTTGGTTATTTCCACAAGAAAAATATAAAAACACATAATTAATAAATGTTTTCTTCTAATATTCTACAAAAGAAAAAAAAAGTTTCATCTAAATATAATTAAAATTTATTCCAAAAAAATGCCACAAATAATTCAGAATAGCAAACCCCTCTTTTATTAAGTGGTAATATAGATCATACATTCTTAATTTTAAAGGGACTGCATGTTTTATTTAGAAAAAAAAATTCGTAAAAAAAATTAGTATCTATATATATAATAAAATATTTTAATATAGCAATTTTATACATCATTAAAATTTTTTCAAAAATATTAAAAAATTTTCTCATTAAATAAAATTTCTATCATAAATTAAAAAGATATGCCAAAAATAAAAATCAAAAGAATAAAATAAATGTTATTCACTTATATTGATTAACCTTTTTATTGTTACTTTTTTAGATGCTATAAAATAATAATTTATTCTTTTTTTTTTTAATGTTTCTGTTGTTACATGAAACTACATTCATTTAAAATTATATTTTTTAATAAATTTATATTTAATGAATTGGAAATATATTTATTACGCTAATTATATAAACAGAAATGTTATTATATCTTCTTTTTATGTATTTATAAAGGTTACAATAATTTTAATAGTACATTATTGCATCTATATTATATAGTCATTATGACAATAACTACAATACCTATTAAATAATACACATGTTTACATTTTGTTTTGATTACTTTATTTTTTCCTTACATTACATAGTTCACTTTTATGTATAATTTAAGCAAGAAAAATTCTAATTAATATTATATATTTTTTTTAGTAATAACCAATTTTAATGTATTTATAATATTTTGAAAAGTGAATTTTTGTAAGATAACATAAACTTATATTAAGATATTATAGAATCACTTATTCAAAATAATTATGTGCTCATTACATATTTATCTATATATTACGAAATAAAAAAAGTCATTTTATATTTTATTTGTATAATCACAATTTTCAAAAATTTAAATACTAATTACTACCTTTGAAAAAAAAAAATTATTCACAATATTAAAAAAAAAAATCGCAAACTTATTGTTTATACATTAAATTAGCTGGTAATGAATAAACATAATAACGATGAATATGTAGAGAAAACTTTATTTTTCTAATTTAAATTAAAAATAATTTACTACATAAATTATTTATTTTTGTTAATTAATATTAAATATTAGCTCTATAGGCTATTTGTTATTTAATTCAATTTAATTTACATAATATTTATTAAATGCATCAATGAACATTACATTTTTAATTTTTATAAAAAAATACTATGTCCTTAATTAAAAAAAAATAAATTTTTTTTCTTTTTTAACTCTACGTCGTGCCCTAAAAGAAATATATATACATATATACACATATATATATAATACATTTTTTTTTTATTATAATTATTCACAAAAATAAATATTATATAATGATATATATATATTTTTTTTAATATACTTTAGTGCATATTCTTCCTTTTCAAATTACGGATTTAAATATTCAGATTTTTCCCATGTTAATAGAATGCAGAAGTGCAAATATACTTTTTTTAAATATAATTTAAAAAATTTAAATAACACCGATTGTAAACCACATATTAATCATAAAAAAAAATTTATTTATAAAAGAATTATATAAGAATAAAACATATTTATAAATTATAAAAAAAAAAAAAATTCATTTTACGAATTAATAAACACATATATTTTTTCTTCATTCTTATTATTCATGCCTTTAAATAATTTTCTAAAAATAAAAATTTTTATGGTTGTCTTCATATAAAAAATTTTGTTAAACATATGATTATACACACATTTTTTTAAATATCATGTATTAATTAGTAACATTAAACGTAATGTTTTTCATTATATTAATTTTTCAAAAAGGTCTATTATTACTTTTGTTTGGCAATTTTAGAAATTCTATATAATTATTTTTATTATTCATCGTTCCTTAACATTTTTTACAAATGGTTAATAATAAAAATAACATAATGCCCATAAAAAAAAATTTTATTATATACATTTTTTTTAACATAAAGAACAATAAAATTAAATGAGAATAGGTAATGTAGTCTATGATTATTATGTCTATTACAAATGCGCATTTTATATATAATATGTAATCTATGTAAAATAATTTAACATTAAATAAAATATGTACATTACTTTGTACAAATATATTGTTTCTTAATAAATATTTTGTTATTGTTTTATTATTATTAATCATATTACATTAAATAATTTATAAAAAATTTATAGAATTTATTAAATATTTTCACTATGTTTTATTATAGCATTAATAATGATTAATAATAATTATTATTGACCTTCTGAAGTAAAATAGAAAAATTCTCTTATATTATTTATAGTTATTTTTATTAAAGAATAAATAATTGTAATCTTTTTTTTTAATTTAAAGATAGAATTTAATATATAATATAAATATTGTCATGCTTTTGTTAAATCACAACTCTATGAATAACAATGTGTTAATTATTACTGAATTAGTATGTATATTTTGAATTTTATTTTCTCTTTTTTTTATTGATGATACAAAAATTTTTATTGAAATATATGTAGTCTTCATTGTAATTCAGAGTAAAGTTGAATAATAAAGTATTGAATTACCATATATAATTGAAAATTAATAATTATAAGATTATTTTATATTAATTATTTTAATTATTTTAGATAAATATATATTTTATAATAATGGCTATTCTATAATTGGTAGAATATGTAGTAACTATTCTTTATAGCTATATTATTTTTTTTGTTTAACGCATATGAAAAGTCATTAAATAAGCAATTAATATAATAAATACTAAATGTATGCTATTATATAATGAAAAATATGCGAAGTATATTCTATGAAAATGAAATCTCTACATAAATGTAATTTTATCTTTTACTTTTATTAATTATTTATCAATTAATTAAATAATCATAATAAATTTCTTTATTGTCATTCTCTCCATTATTAAATAAAAAAGATAAAAAAATACACACTTTTTTTATTTAGACATTTAATTTATTAATATATATTTTTTTTTAGTTCAGCAAATAAGACACTTCTTAAAAATATTGAATAAATAATTAATCATTTATAAATACATTAATCCTTCTAACATGAATTTTTAAAAAGATTAGTAATATTTTTATTATGATTATAGCATTTCAATATATTATAAAATAATATTTCTAGTTTAATATATTTACCTTATATTAAACAAAGATTTAGTGGTTACATATTAAATGACTTTGATGTTGTATTAAAAAAGAAAATTAATAAACAACATACAGAAATTTCCATATAACATTAATTCTTATATATTTTTTCTAATTTTCCAAATAGCTGTTGTATGTACATTCAAAAAAATTAAAATTTATTAATTTTAGAGACCTTTATTTTAATAATATAATTTTCCTAACTTTTATTAAATGTTGAAATATGCGTTATAACTTCTTATTATATACAAAATAATTATTTAACACAAAAAGACAAATTTTCTTAAAAATTACAGTCTTCTATTATTTTATATAAATTATATACTTTTGAAAAGAAAATCTTTCTTTTTAATTTAAATAAGAATTTTTCCTATGTAATTATGAATTAACTTAATCCACAAAAACTTTCAATATACAATTCAATATCATTTGAAAAAATAAAATTAAAAATAAGAAAACATATTTGACCAAAGAAATTACAGAAAAAAAAAAAATAACCTTTTTACTTTTAATCAAATGCGTACTAATAGGTAACATACTTCATTCTGTATATATTGTCATCTGTTATTTCATAAAAAGTTTGTAATATTATCATTCAAATAAGTAAAAAATGATTCTATAAAAATGAATTTTCAAAAAATTTTATAACTTTTATTAAGAAAATCTTTATAATAACTTTCTTACTTCACAAAACAGCAAATGATATTTCACTTATATATAATTTTACGACTTATTAATTATTTATATAATAATTTGATACTTTTATTTAATTTATCAATTCAAAAAAATTTTTATATAATAGGCTTTAACGAAAAGAAATTAAATAATGAATTAGGTTTTATCATAATATACTTTACATTTATTTGTATGTACTTATATTACATATTAATTTTATATAATGATCTCTATTTTATGTTGTCTCGTACTTTAAATATAAAAATATAAAAATTTAAAAAATTGACAATTTACATGGATTTATATAATTACAAAATTAATTATTAATGAATATTAAAAACCATTTCAATATTTCTTTAAAATTAAATAGAATAAACCTAAATAATTAAATGATTTATTATGAAAATTGAGCAAATTAAGATTCTAGTCTATAAATAGTATTATTGTTCTGTTCTAAACAATATTTAATTATATAA